CAGAAAAGTATAAAACAAACGTGCTATACCGAAGTAAGACCAACCAGCGGCACCATCCAACCACAAATGTATCGAGTATATGGCCCTAAAGTCCTCGACAAATCAATACTGGTCAAATAATATTTATCCACCCATTAGTAGCGGAAAACAGTACCATGGAAACAAGAAAGGGCTCAGCAGGCTGCAAGAAAAGAACAAGCATGCGAACGGGATCTCTATACTTTTGAGTCTATGTTCTAGTCTAGTTCTGTCAGACACATGGGAATTTCCCTCGTTCTGTTGGTGCTACTTTTTCTTTCTGTTGTTGTTTTTTTTTCTTTCGTTGTTTCATTGTCTTTGTATTAGTTATTGCTAATGTTGTTGATGTTACTAGCTTTGGTGGTGGTGGTGGTGGATCGTCGATGCCATTACTGTTGTTACTGTCTTTACCCACGTTGTCGTTATTATCTTTTTCGTTGTTGTTGCTATTGTTTCTAATTTTTTAATTTTTTTTATCATTTTCTTTTTGTTACCTCGTCGTTACCGCTTTTGATGTGGTTGTTTTCCTCAATTGCGGAGCTGTCACCTTTTTGTTGAGCTCGATATCTCAAAACAGACGTGCATATTATTTCGTAAAATAAACAAAACGGTAAAAGAGATGAAAACGGCCCCCTCTATATTTATCTTCTCTCCCGGCATGGAGTTTTCCTTACTATACTTACTTGTCCCTTCCTTTTGCTTCGTTAAATGCCAAAATAAGTTGTAATAAAAGATACATGTATGTTATTTTGGAGGACCTCTTTGACGTTATTCAGCCCCCTTTGACGTTATTCAGCCAAGTTTTTCGTGGTCTACTCTTGACTTTCATTTTGTCAGCTCGACGTGGTTCACCATGAAATATAAAGTGATGATCGACATGTTTCTTGCCAGAAGTCAAACAATGGTCAGGAAACTGGGCGTGGTCGTTTGACACACTTCAAGAGGAATTCTAGCTTGCAAGTAAACCGCACGGTTCGAAAGGGCGGTGTCGCAAGCCGATTACAGCGTTGTTTATAGCGTCTAGCAAGGTTGTTGTTCTTTATGAGTCGGGTTACATAACACCGTGTATCCTAATCTTCTAGTTTACTTCGCCCAAGAGTTGGGTGTCATTGAACAATCTCTCTCTCTCTCTCTCTCTCTCTCTCTCTCTCTCTCTC